CATGTATCCCACAAGACATGTGTCTATACTGTCTATTTTCATCAAACTAGACGTGTAACGTGTAATAGTCGTCAGTCGATGCGCAGCGGACTGTCGGAAATTTTACGATCATAACCGATTATGCACCGAAAGGTGACGATCACTTAACCGTTATAAGACGCGTTTTACACGTTAAAAATGGAAACATATTCTGTATAAGAACGAATAATTCTGTTAATACAATAACTGTTATATACAAATTCGGATACTGTTTATACAACAAATCTTCTCTACTATACAATTGGAACATAAAGTCTATAACACATAATAATGTATAAGAAATTCATTATAATCTTTATTTCATAGATGCATAAGGAGTATTAAGCACCTTACAGTTAAACTTATTGAATAATGAGTATGGGACGAGTGCTTTTTTTAATAAAAGTTGTATATTTGTTATAAAAGTTTTAATATGCGCTATACACATTATTCTAGATAAACAGTTTAATTAGCCCATTTCTTTCAGTGTAGTATTGCAACATTTACCAACTGGACTCTGGGCCTAAATAATAAGTAATTTCAGCGATTTTTCAGTAATTTTTATTTCATTAATAGAAATTGTCTGATCAGGGTAGCTAGATTTTTAAATAAATGTGCAAGGCGATTTTTAATTGATTATTTATATAATTTTAACATTGTATTCTACTCACGTTAAAATATGCAACTTTTTTACATAACATTTTTGGAAATTCACAAAAGTAAGAGAAAACAAATAAAGTTTTAAAAAATATATTACGTCTGTCTTTTATGTAATTGCTTTCTTGTATACTTTTTTGTATACCTACTGACATTTTCTGCTTATAAGTCGTCGTGTTAAAGTGTCACGAAGTTGAAACTCTGAAACTAGTCATAAATGAAAATGGCTCATGTTTTGAGAATAGTGAACTAGTAGATATGTTCCTTATTATTTAAGTAGAATGTCGTCAAAATGCAGCTGCTACTTCTCGCTTATACGAAGATTGCTTCCTCGAACGATACTATCAAAACTTCAGAAATTTCAGAAAGACCAAGAACAGACCGAGAATAAAAATTTTAGAAAGAAAATTTTATCTAGGGACGAGTCAACGTATAAGTACCCGAAATGGAATTATTAATTTCCACAATGTCTACGTTTATGTTAAAGAAAATGCTCATGCAATTCAGAGAACCAACTCCCAACAAAGATTTCCTGTGAAGGTGTAGGCGAAAATTGTAAATGTGATGTTTTCCGTGGCCACTGATGTTACCGTACCTTAACCTTTGTGATTTTTGTGGGGATACATAAAGAGTTTAATGTTTCAAGCACTAGTAAATACACGAGAGCAGTAGATTGGCCGGATAACACGGGCAGCGGCAACAATATGGAGAAAAAAGCAACACAGGAGATGATCTTGTTTTTAAATAAACATTTGGTGTTTTAACTGTTACTTTTCTCGCATATTTTTTCAATTTTTAAAAAGTCGCCTATTTTAACGTGTTGAAGCTCGGTGGAAACTATATAATTAACTAAAAAAATCACCCTGTATAAATACCTTTACTTAACTTTTATAACTTGTCTGTAGCTAATACGTATGACTTCAGAAGGTAACTGACGTGAATCTAAACAAACCTGACAGCATAATCAGCCGGAATTTGTAACAATAAGATCAACGATAACATTTCGATTGGAACTACAAGTAACTACATAAATCATGTCTTTCAACGTTTAAAATTACAAGCACAGATAGGCGCAGATGTGAGCTTCTAGAAAAAATAAAACAAATAATGCATTCCTCCAAAGATACAGGGGACAGATGGTAGCGTTAAAAAATACTTGGCAAGCTACCAAGCCATTTGGCACAGGCTCTTAGGATATCCTTTTCCAGCAGAAATTAAATGACTTATTTGATTTAGAATCAGGGACATTCTTTATTTTAATAGCTTGATAATTTCCACAAAGCACCAAAGTAATAGGTAGTAGATTAATGACCCCATATTTACAGAAAAATATTTTTCAGTTTTCAAGGTTATTTTCTAAAAATCTCATTTTACTCTCAAAATTAATTTGAAGACACTTCATCCCTAAGTATTGTATAGTAAAATATTCTCTCTTTTCTAATGTGAAAAGCACGACAAATGCACTGCTTTCGCTACATTTAAAAAATTAATAGATTCATATACTGGGTCGCTGATATATATGGAAACGATAGCTATCGAAAAATCATAAAACGCAAACGTTTTAGGGTTTTTTAAAATCTATTACAATAAAGAAAAATTATTTATACAGAATCAGTCAAAAAGTCAAGTCGAAACAAAGTTGCTGTTTTCTTAATGAAACACCCTGTATATTATTCCATATTTTAATTGTTCTGGAAATTCTAAACAAAATTCATTGTAGCGCATCATGTACCTAAACTTAACCGTTTACGAGTTATCGAACTTTGAAAGTAACTTTTTACTACTCTCAAATTTATAAACGAAAGTGGGCCCCAAACTATAGATATTTATTTTAAAAATAACACAAGGTGGAAGATTTGGATATGATTTAATTTTATTATTAGTTTTTTACGGATAATAAATTTACAGGTTTGATAAAAATACATGAAACGAAAAAATGTATTTTTTAATAAATGTCCCGGATAATTTATATATGAAAACAATAGTTATGCAAGAAAAAAAGAGAGTAGAAACTTACTTTTAATAAACATCAAATATTTTCTTTGGAATTCTATTTTATAAGGTGCTCAAAGTGTTCACCATTTACCTCCTGACAGTAATGAATTCGCTGAACAAAATTTTGTAGTGAATCTAGAAGGGTGTTGGGAGGAATAGTGGAAATTTCATGCCTTATCCTTTCCTTCAATTGTTCGATATTTTGCGCCCTACTTTTGTAGACTACATTTTTGATGTGATCCCACAGAAAAAATCAAGCAGGGTCATATCGGGAGACCTAGCTGGCCATTCAATTGCCCCTCTACGTCCATTCCAATCTAGATATGCCCGCACCACACGTTCAAAACATGGAGGAACCCATGTTGAAACCATATTTGTTCTGTCGGTAAATTGGAATTATTATTGTTCGGGAATAAACTCTGGAATAATGTGTTCTAGCAAAATTAATAAATATAGTTCAGAAGACAAATTTCCGGTTATAAAATAGGCTCATATGACGTGTCTACCAATAATTCCACACCAAACAATTACTTTATGTGGTCGTTGGGTGTGAACTTCCTCCATCCAATGTGAATTTTGCTCTGACCAATACCTACACTTGTGCCTGTTTAAACAAAATGTAGATTCGTCAGAAAACTATATGTGGATGACAAAGTTGACATTTTTGTTGAATTTATTCATAACTTCACAGAAGTCGATTCTGCGATCATAATCGTTTGTTATGTCGAATTTATTGGATTTTCCACCACATTTAACATGACATTCAAAGAATTTTCTTCATTTGTAACACTTACTGGTCTTGCACTTTTTCGTCAATCTATAACGCCTCCAGTTTCATGAATGTTTTTGAAATGGTTGAATTAGAAATACGTTCCCGATCAGGATGCAATTCATGAAAAATATCCACTACTTCGTCACAACTTCGTCTTCTATCACCATATCCTATGATCATTAAAACTTCAATACGCTCCGTTTCACTTAAATGTGCGAGAAAATTATTCACACTGAATATATTTTTGACATGTGTTGCCAAGATAATCACTATTAAACAAAAGAACGACGCGGCGTTGTTATGGAGCTAGAAACTTTCAAAGGTAACTTGATAGACTTTTGCATTAATTTATAAGAAAATAATTTTCAAAGTTCAACATCTCGAAAACGGTTAAGTTTATGTACATGATGTGCTATATGAATTTTGTTAGTATTTCGAGAAGAATTTAAATATTAAAGAAAAAGTTCGTCATGACTTTTGGATTGATTCTGTAAGTATATTTAATGTTTCATTATTGTAATAAATTTTAAAAAATCCTAAAACGTTTGTATCTAACTAAATAAATAATATTTTTATAAATATGGATGATAAATGTAAAACATCTCCGATATGCTTAATTTAAAAAACCTTTCATATTTATTAAAATCCATAATTTTCCCCTGTTTACTCCCCTCTACATGAGTTATGTGCCGGAAATAGCACTAGCTTCAAAGTGAACCTTATATTTAGTAGTATATACGTAATTTTTCACGTCGTAAATTATAAAAACATACACTGCTAGCAAGCTTATACACTCAGGCCAATTAGTCTAAGCTCAAAAGGAGCTTATTTCTATAACACACATAAAGTTAAATATAAAGCCAAATTACGGAGCACACTTAGAGTATACGAAAACAAAACTACATAAAACTGATTTTACAAAACTTGGCAGCTGAGGTAGATATAAAATTTAATTTTAATGCACACAAGACGAGGCAGCTAACACACGCTCTTTCATCCGCGGCAACGGATGCCACCGATAAATCGCTATTTTCGTGTGGAATAACTTTTATCTGACGCCTGGTAATCTGATGATTTAAAAGACCACAAATCGGGCGACAGCGTGTGTGGCGCTTCAAAGACGCTTTAATCTAATATCTAACCCGATACATGTGTCAACGAGGCCAGAATGGATGAATGCTTAAAGCCCCTGATACACAGATAAAAATCATGTGGAGTTTCTAAAGTTAGTCCGACCGAGGCCGAATTCAGAAGAACAAACGCCGCTACAATAAAAGACACGCTTTTTGCCTTGGTTCTAGATTGGGTAGCTTGATACTTGGTTTTCCTCGAATAATTATTATTAACGTTCTGGAACTAATTTGTTTGCCGACGTTTCGGTTCTGTATCTTCAAACAAAAAAAATCGAGGCTAAAGGGGCCTGCAATTTGGCTAATTGAATACAACCCTTTTTTACATTCATAATAATTAGGTAACAAAATAATATATCTAAAATATTTTTAAAATGGTGATGAGATTATCAGTCATTTCAATTTCTTTTATAAGGAATTATTAGCACATTGCGATGTTTCTGTTTGTGTTTCGTTGTGCTTGTGCGTGTATTATTGCTCTTGTTTTTGTTCTTGTTCTTGTTGTCATTCTCGTTCTCGTTTTCGTTCTGATTCCTGTTTCTGTTCCTGTTCCTCTTCTTGTTCTTCTTCTTGTTCTCATTCTCGTTCTCGGTCTCGATCTCGATCTCGTTCTCATTCTCATTCTCGTTCTCGTTCTTGTTCTTTTTCTTTTATTTTTGTTTTTTCTATTTGAATCAGTATTTTCTCGAATGTAAGGTGCTGGCGTCAAACTGATCGTGTTCAGCAGTTGCGAAAATATATTCTTATCAAAAGAACATATCACTTTTTCCTTTTGTGTCCTAATGTTATTACTAACTATCAAATAAATGGTTCAAGGTTAAAGGAGCCAACTTGACTTGGAAATAATCATAAAATACTTTTTTACATCCACAATAATTAAGTGAGTAAAATGTCTAGACAAGTTTACTATATAATGCAGAAAGTGACAACCATAATTTATCTTTTAGGGAGGGATACTAATTTAAAATTATTCTGAATATAATTTTTGCTTTCAATAAAATCGAGGAGATAGAAGTCGACCGCTGATCTCTATTAGATATAGAACCATGAAGTCAATTTCATATGTCAGAGAGGTTTTGCAGATGTTCAGTATATGTTCGATGACAACGTTGATTATTGATAATCGCCTCCTCTTATGGATTGGCTATTTTTATTTGAATTTTTATCGATGGCACTCCATAGTCTATTTGATATCATTTTTCCCTTCCGCTCCCTTTATCTTTCTAAAAAAAAATTACGCTGAAGGTTGTGATTGAAAGAAGCTAATATTAATATTATCCCATAGCCAAGCAACAATTAGACTCAAATTAAGAATGTTTATTTATTTATTTACAAATAAGGGAATCCTACAGAATTTCTATAGAAATTCCAATTATAGGATACCACTTAAGATTACATTAACCATATAACTATGTGCATTGCATACAAACAGAAAAAGAGAAGAAACATACTCGTATGTACTTATGTGTAAAAAAGAAAAAATGTTCATATGTGATAAAGAAACTAATATCTAAGGAAAAAAGATATAATCTAACAAACATAAAAAAAGACAATAAATTTTTAACAAAAAACATCAATAGCACAGCGCCTGACTTGATTAAATGATTTATCAAACAAATCTATGTGACTGAAATACTCGTTGTAGTTTTTCTGGATTAAAGTAATAGGTGAATTACAACTATAATTATTAGGATTTACATTTAAATAAAATAAATTTGTTGATCTTGTTGTACGAAGCTTTATGTTAAAATTAAGCCTACTTAAAATATAATTACAGTCAATATTACCATTTAGGAGTTTGTATAAAAATAAAACGTACGATATTAATCTACGAGAGGATAACTTTAATATTCTATAGTGTTTTAAGTTGATTTCATAAGGTCTATAATGCAGATGCCTATTAAACCTGTAGTTTAACATGTTAATAAATTTTATCTGAACTTTTTCTATCCGTTCTATATATTTAACATAATTTGGGTTCCACACAATACCAGCAAATTCAAGGTGACTACGAACGAGAGAATTATACAAAGATATAACGGATGCCGGTTTAGTAAACGATTTAGTATTTCTAGCAATAAAGCCCAAGTTCCTATATGCTTTTCTAGTAATATTTTCAATGTGTGTATCAAATACAAGTTTTGAATCCAGCATAACACCTAAATCCTTGACAGATTTGGCTTTGGTAAGTAACGTATTGTTAATATGATAAGGAAACAGATAATTTATTGTTAGTCTAGAAAATGTTATGTAATGGCACTTATCAATATTAAGGTACAATTTGTTGAGTTTACAATAGTTCTGAAATCTACACAAATCGGATTGAAAATTGATACAGTCATTTATATCATTAATTGTTTTATAGACTTTCAAATCATCTGCATATAGAGAATAATTAGAATACATGAAACATTGATCAATATCATATATGAAAAGCGAGAAAAGCAGCGGTCCTAGGTGTGACCCTTGGGGTACTCCTGAGGTTATATTTATGTAAGATGATGTAACATTGCTAATTTTAACACACTGTGACCTGTTTTGAACGTAAGATGTTACCCATCGGAGCAGGTTGCCATGTACACCGATGTTTTCCAATTTTACCAAGAGTGTATTATGATGAATTTTATCAAAGGCTTTGGAAAAATCAGTGTACACTGCGTCAACCTGCTTCCTATTACTCATACTATCAATAGTCGATTGCACAAATGAAATTAAGTTTGTCGCAACTGAACGACCTTGGAAAAAACCATGCTGATGCTCACTAATAAGATGTTTTGTTTTAAAGAATATTTCACTTGTTACTATGGCTTCAAAAATTTTACCCGGTACCGAAAGCATGGATATTGGACGATAGTTTGACACACTGTTTTTATTACCTCCCTTTAAAATAGGAACAACTTGAGCACGTTTCCAAGCACAGGGAAAGATGCCCTCCGATAATGATTTGTTGAAAATAATTAACAAGGGATAATAAATAGAATCTACACAAGATTTTATGAATATAGGAGGTAAGCCATCCGGACCAACCCCTTTGTTTATATTCAATTCATTTATTTGCTTCTTTACCTCCACGTCAGTTATAGTATTAATGACCACTGCGTTTACCGAAGTAACGGGACGAACGTTGGATGATGATGTAGAGGGCTCAAACACGAAACCAAAATACTGAGAAAACGCATTGGCAATGTCTATATATGTCGAATATACTTTGTCATTTAAATGTATAAATTTAGGAACAGTTTTACAACGACGCCTGTTGGATACAAAGGACCAGAAATTTTTAACGTTACAGACGACATCAGATTCTATTCTATTAACATAATTTTTGAAGTCAGTTTTAATAGATAATTTTACTTGCTTACGAACGCTAGAAAACTCTTGATAATCGATTATGTTTTTATATTTAATCCAGCGTTTATGTAGCTTAGATTTTTCCTTTAACAAATTCTTAGTTTGGACCGAATACCATACAGGGAATTTATAGTTTATATTTTTCTTACTAATAAATTTCGAAATTATACCATTTATTATATTATAGAAAACCATTGTGGATTGTTCAGCATTCAGTTTAAAAAATTCATTATCCCAATTAACTTTTTCTATTTCACTGTTAATGAATGAGCTCATAATTAGCTCTAAAGAAGTTTAACTTACAAAAAGACTTTTTAAATCCTATATTTGAATTATGAACATCCACAGAAAAATAAATTTCAATGCATTTATGATAAACGTCTTCAGGTACAAGAGGTAAATCTGAGGCCACTACTGTAACGTCATTTATTGAACTGAAAACGAGATGTTCAAAACCTGTTTGGAACTGTTTACAAATACTAAGTGTAGTGACTAACACTAACATGATTATATTGAGTATTATCAGGGCATAATGTATTGAAGGTACTTAATGAAAAAGCAGATAAAGCACAAAAACGGAGACCTGAAATAGTTCAGTCCAAAGCCAGAGTTTAGCTTTCTGCTAAGGAAGTTTTATTAAAGAATATTGTGTTTATTGGGATAGGAGAAAACCAAGACAGAGCCAAGCTAGGGAGATGTTGAATGTTCCTTCATTAAAGAAAACTCATGAAGAGATGTATGAAAAAAGTTAAAGAAATCGCAGAACTTTTAACAGAACACTCAGATAAATCTGCCAAGGTTGCAACTGGGAAGATGAGTCCGCATAGTACATTCCACAAAAATTAACTCTAATATCTAGGTATAGCTTATGAGTTCAAACAGGTACTTTTTGTTCACTTATGTACCTTTAACTAAAATGTGTACTTTAAACATATCTGAATAAATGAAACCTGTATGGTTTTAGTTATAGTTTAGTATATAGTAGAATTTACTTTTATAATGCTTTAATTTAAAAATTAGATGTGGAAACAAACTTTTTTTATGTCCGACTAGTATGTTTAATATCACATGAAAATGAAATAAAATCAAGTTGTAGTGAACAATAATTGCTTGATTTGACTTGATATTAAATTACTGTTACTTCACTTGAACCTAACTTGATTTCAAGCCAAATAACTAAAAAGCTAAACTTGAAATTTCATTTTTATTTTACTTATAGTAATTGAGGTAACTATAACATTTATTATTCTTCGCTTTTCACATAAAATTACTTTAACAATGGACAATAAAAAGACCCGTTAGTCTTACAAGTAATATTCAGTAATAATAAATTATTCGCAAACGTTTTGCTCAAAGGAGACTTTCAACTTTCAATTACATTTTCTAATTGTCATTGCGAAAATTCATTGTTTTATTGCGAAACTCTTTATTCTCTATCCGTCTCATAATTACCTCCGTTCTTAAATGACTACATTGTTTGTATTTTATTCGAAATAATCTACATTTAAACTCGCTCTTAACGGGGCCATTTTGTTACCGTGTTATTTAATGTGGTAATAAAATGACATTACTCCGTTTGGATTAATTTACTGAAACTTTAACTGTTTGTTATTAAAACAGTAACGAACAACCCTTTGCTTATAAGCAAGTGTGTTTAGACCATTGTACAAGAAACCATATAAAAAGTTTTCAACAAGTAAACTCAGAAGCCGCAACTGCGAAATTACGTAAGGTGAAAGCAATAACAACCCTTAGGCAAAAACATGTTTGAAAAGGTATGGTCGTCGATTTTGGAAGCTAAGGTGGATTTATTTCAGCAGTTATCTTTGTGTTGTATCCCATACAGTATCGTTTCCTTAGACTTTCACTTTCATACCCAATGTATGTAGATATTTTCTTCCAGCTGTACAAAATGACACTCTAAATTGTTCCAAAAATGGCGACAGAAATTATTTGTACAAATACCCACCCACATTTGGAGTAGGTAATAATTATGTGCAGTTACATTTTGTCCCATTACATGGAATAAATTTTGAATTTAGTTAACCGAATTAAGCACATGTATTTTTAGCAATTGTATAATTTTTTATGTATAGTTTGCGATTTTTTTAATACAAATTGTAGAATATTTTCTCTAAAATTGGAAAAAAAGGAATTTGTATTAAATAGATAGTTATACAGGGTGGCCGCCGAGGTATCCGGGATACTTCGTATATGTATTCTATGACTAATTTTAAGCAAAAATGACTCTATTCACTTTGTTGTTGCCAGATCGTATGGATGGGTAGTCGCTGAAGAGTAAATTACATTGTTGCGACTAGAGGGCTGGGTAATTTAATAATTAACAATTTAGAATTAGGAAAAAAATGTTGATTGTCAATTCGTTATATGTCATAATTATTTTTAATTTTGTGCGTCATTTATTTATTTGTTTATTTATTTATTTATAGATAAGAGGACAAACACAGGCTTTATAGCCCAAAAGAATGTCCACAAAATACTTAAAGCTAAATAAATATAGAAGTAATTAAATGATTACTATAATAGAAAATGTTAGTTTACAATAATAGTGTAAACTTTAAAATAGTGAGCGAGGAGTGAAAGATATCTAGAGTAGGTACTATAGTACAAGTTAAAATATTTAAATATTCTGTTTATAGGAGAGTTTAGACCAGAATTAGTTCGATAAAAAGTCTTATGAAACAGTGCATTTACTTTAAAGTCAGGTTGTGCTACATGTAAACCGATTAAGGCTAATAAATCCGGAGAATCGATAAAATCATTAAGAAGATTATACAAAAATTCTACTTCGGGAATAATTCTTCGATTCTCCAATGAAATAATATGGTAGGTAGGTAATGATTTCGTAACATCCAGCTACAATGAACAGAATACACACCACTCTCCTCGTAGTGTAATAAATCTTATAAATCTATTATGTATAGTCTCAAGTCGAGACTTATAGATGGAATATTGAGGACTCCATAAAAATAGATGCAAAGTTGATTATGCTGTGCTCATATGCGAAATATATAGATTTAATAACAAAAATCGACATAAAATTTTAGCAAACTGTAAATCAATATGCGAAAAACTCATTTTTCTATCAAAAACAACCCCAAGATCTTATATTCTTATTAAGATTATAATTATTAGAGTACCTATATATTTTGGTTACGGGTAAAACAAATATGAAAACATTTATTTAAATTTAATTGAGGCTTGTTTAATTTACAGTATTCAAAAAAAGAGTTTAAATCTTCCTGGTAGGCGATACAATTATCGGAATTATTTATTTGAGAGGAAATTTTCAAATCGTCTGCGTAGAGTAAAAATCTACAAAATTTGAAACAGTGACGGATATTGTTGATATAGATTAAAAATAGTAATGGTCCCAAATGTGATCCCTGAGGAACACCTAACATTGCAACGTAGAGGGATAGAATAATAGTTACCAATTCAGGCCTGTTGAAAACATGAGAGGTAAACCATCTCAGTAGGTTACCATGTACACCAATTTCAGACAATTTAGATATAAGTATATTATGATTAATTTTATCGAATGCTTTGCTGAAATCGGTGTACACGGCATCCACCTGTGTCTGGCTATCCATAGCACTGGTAATATATTGAGAGTATATTACTAAATTAGTTTCAATAGATCTATTTGGAAAATTTCCATGCTGCTCAAAAATTAACTATAGACAATTTAACCGCGCTAAGTAAATGTTTATAATATACACGTTCATTAATTTTGCCAAGAATATTTAATTTACTAATTTGGAAACTTCTTTTTTATAACCTTTTTGTAAATAGGAATAACAAATGGCTGCTTCCATATGTCACGAAACTCTCCTTCTCTTCAAGAGACTTGTTAAATAACAAAGTGAGAGTGTTACAAAGGGAATCTGCACATTTTTACAAAAAAAAATGAGGGAATACCAGGCCCCTTTATTTTCGTATATGGATATTGCACTACCTCAGTTAGAGAATATCGACGATGATATCCAAACCGCTATCTTCAGGACAAGGAAACGTTCAATAGAATCTTCAGAACTCTTAGATTGCGTTCTCTAAATCGATTTGTAAAAGAAAAGTTATGCGAAGAAACAATGCTGGTTAAACTTGTTGAAAATGATCCTAGTACTAATACGAGACTTACTGGACAAAGTAGGACGACTGTGCAAGACACTTTGCGAAAAAACGGACTGCATCCCTACTATTACCAACTGGTACAAAAACTTCTCCCCACGGATCTTCCCCAAAGAGTTCATCTTTGTGAATGGCGGAGAAATCATCTGGATACTCTTTCAAGAACTTTTTTCTGTGGGAAGCCACATTTACAAGAGATGGAATCAACAGTTTCCACAACGATCATGTGTGGAATGTGGGCAATCTAAAACCCTCACGCTATTCGAAAAACCCATTTTCAGATTCTCCGTAACGTTTGGGTTGGAATAATTTATAATGAAGTTACTGGATCACATTTCTTCCACGGAATTTTGAACGATCTACCTCTACTACTTCAGGACATTCCTCGTCAATTCAGAAGGACGATGCTCTTTATACATGATAGTGCTCCGTCCCACTATGGAAGAGGTGTCACTAATTTCGTCAATGGAAAGTATACAAATCAATAGATTGGTCCTAATGGTCCCATTGCTTCGCCACCACGATCTCCATTGGACTTTTTCATATCTGGGACATGTGAAGGCACTTACCTATTCAATGAGAATACAGCGTTTGATGAGGTGAAAAACAATATCGACAATTACAACTGGGAACGAGAACTTTGACAGAGGACTGAGTTATGCATTACACAAGACGGTGGTCACATTGAGCAGCTTTAATAATTACCTACACTACCATTAAGTTTTTATTAAAATAAAAGCCCTCTAGTAGCAACAATGTAATTTACTCTTTAGCAACTACCCATACGACCTGGCAACTTCAAACCCAGATATTTCAAGAACCATTGGGAATTTGGGAAAATTGAATAGAATCAATTTTGCTTAAAATTTGTTATAGAATTCATATACGAAATATCTCGGGTACCTCGGCGGAAATACTGTATAGCTATTGTTTTTATTATATTAACGATGTATTTACAAGTTAACTACTATAGAAAGAAATTAAATACTAATTTAACATAAATCGTCCAACTTGACGAAAATATATTTCTTTAATTTCTTGAATTAATTGTAAAATAAATCTGAAAATATCTTTCAATATATCTACATTTCTATATTTTTTGTAATAAAAAGGATTCTTTACATAAAATTATCATTGTCAGATGAATAGAATAAGCAAACTTCTTCCTCCTAGTCCTGTGTATTGTAAATAATAGATTAACGCTTCTTTAAGTATAAGAGAAATTAAGAGGTAATTAATTAACACACAATAAAATTAGCAGCAGTTAAACTAGATGAAGCAGAACATTCCTATTATTTCTTATGTAAATCTCCATGTCATTAATAAAGGCAACTTTCACTGTTTCTTTTGCAATTCTCCGCTTAAATTTTTACAGCACAATTAGGCTCTACTCAGCCGCATAAAGCACCAACTGTGTAATTAAGCAGTGCATTAAAATAACGTAAATTCCGTTGTAAGAAAAACAGAAATGTCTCGAGCACTTCCTTACAAAAGACACACACTTTACAGCTCTTTTCCAACAAGGAAGTGGAGTTTTCAAAGTTTTGTTCCGTCAACATTTTATATTGCGGAACTCTTTCCTGCCCCCAGGCGAATCTGTTTGACCTCGGCCGTATTCATGCATAGTTCATCTCTCCCTCAGTTCCTGTACCACGTAAAAAATTACGTAGCTTCTAATAATTTAAGAAGTGGAATACTTAAATTCTCATTACTGCGAAAGTCTTGTTATATTCTTCTTTTTTTTTTTCAAAATGCCATTACCACGTACATCACTACGTTAGTGAGGTGGTAAAGCGACCTTATCAATATGTGCATATTAATTCAGTAAAATAAAATATGTATCACTTCGTAGTTAAAGGGGAGAATTCCTTGTTATTAAACCCGAAATCTTATTTTTCTTTTCATCTGCCTTATATTACGATAAAAATGTGATGTGTATAACAAGTAATCTAAAACCTAATCTATATCTGAAATACATGTTTCAAAAGAAGGCGGTAAGAAAAACACACAATCCAATAAAAAATGTACATATATCTTTTTCTGCTTATCCTAAAAGAAATATATTATATTAGGGTGAGTTTACAAGAAATAAAATATGTTTCCCTTTGCTTTTAAATGGCATGGGCTTCTAAATGTAAAATGCAAAATAAGGACTTTTGTAAGAATTCAAAAAATTATTTGTCTGTTCGTCAGCGTCATATAACAAAATTACAGAATGTAAGATGTGTATCATTTATAGTAACATAAACCTCTTGTCTGAACTAATACAACATAAAAAACAATTTGTAACATAGAAAACAAATAATTTCGTTTACAAGCTGTTGAGCTAGCACAGAGCGTCCTATATCACTGCACTTTTGGATTCCTCATCAATTACAAGATTTGTAAGAATGGGATGTCTTTTCTACAACGTTGCCATTAGCATTAGTAAAATCTTCAAAACTACAACCTAATTACGAAATAGTGAAATAGAAAAATTACATTTTAACAAAATTTTATAACAAGTAACAGATGGATATACAGGTTGATTCAGTCATAATGTCATTAATTTTAACCACGTATTCGGAAGGCCTAGTAAAAACAGAAAATCGGAAAAAACTGTGGTTCACATTTACTTTGGGTTCCGCGTTAAACGTATCCACTTAATCCGCTTTAGTATACGTATGTACAAAACCAATAAAATGCAAGTAAATAAAGGAGCATGCTGCATGTTATTATAAATAATTTTAACAATTGCTGCTTAGTGCAAAATGTTTTAACAAACCTGACCTCTCGAATTCAACTTTCGTTAAAAGAACATAAATAAAGCAGAAGTAGTTACCTGTTTGTAGGCACACCGTATTTTATCAAATAAAAAAAGTCGGCACACTAAATACCTGATATATACAAAATACACTACGCACGGTTACAAAGCCATTAAGAATTTAAAGCGTTTATTCAAATCTACCACCCTCCATATCTACCACATTTTTCTAGCAAATTTGGAGTTAGATGGAGACGGGATGTGGATTGTTTAGTGTCGGTAGTGGTCGGTCGAGAGTGCGGTGGCAAGCATTTCTCGGCTAGGCTTCCTACTCTGGTCCGGGTTCGATCCCCGGTGTCGGCACTGGCAATGTCGATGGATAATGGGTGTTTGTCCGCGTTTTTTCAAGTGTAGCCCCCTTCCGCACAAGCCTTTGGCTTTGGATTTGGAGGTTGTCTCATTTCTGTGGTGTGTTTTATGTTTATGGTGATTTTATACGGAGAGTATGTACAGAACGCAAATGCCGCTGCAATTGAATATCGGAGACGTTTCGCTGATAGACAGGACTCATAGGACATCGACAAAATGACTTAAATGTGATAGATGCTGTTTTAAATTTAGTCGAGGAGCAGCCTACTATTTCCACAAGAACAATTTCAAGGCGATTAGAGATATCACAAACCAATGTTTGGCGGATATTGCGCAAGAATTCACTCAACCCGTACCATTTTCAAAAAGTTCAAGCTTTAGAACTAGCTGATTTCCCCAATTTTGCAATCCTAAATCGACGTGCAGCAGAACCTAACTTTATTAATAAAGTGCTCTGGACGGATGAATGCTGTTTTACTCGTGCTGGCATTTTAAACAGGTAAAAAACATTACTTTGTCAAAAACAATAAGTACCTACCTAGGTTACACCAAAGTTTACATTTATTATTTAAACTTTGGTTATACACAACTGCATATTGAATAATAAATTGAACATAATACTAAAACTATGTATTATTTAACATAATAAATTATAAAATGTGAAAACGTTAATAATATTAAAAATGATAAATTGTAATAACCGTACATTCGAAAACAATCATCCCTATTCATTTGTTGTTTTAGCATCAACATTAATGAATAAATAACAATTGTTATCACAATATTTAAAATAAAATATCTATTCATCATGTATCGAGACAAAAATGTTTCTTTACGTCTTGTCCGAGTTCTATTCATATAGTGCAAGTCAAAACTGGGTTAGAAGGTTAGTGACCTGGACAGGTTAGCATAGGTCAGAAACACGTACCGAGTTGTTTATTGTGCCAGAATTTGTCTCCGTCCGATTGTTTTTTATGGAATATACAAGTCTCTCTTGTATTACTTACAGTAAATATTTAAATACTACATACTTTTCACCCTCTCTTTATAATTTATCTAGTGAGTGTTGGTTTTTTATGTCATTCTTTCTATAATGAAATTGAAATGGTTACGAAATGAAATCTAAATTATTTGAACTCTTGGAGTTTTGTAACTTCAATATTAAATTTTATGTAAAGTGAAACAAAGCTAATTTCTTTGCAATCATAATAGCCACATTTGGTCAGATGAAAACCCGGTGATCGTTTAATTGGGCCGCATTTTCTACATGAACATCTGATTGGGCCGCGTTACTTTCAATTTTTAGTAGAATTGTTTGAAAACCTTCCCCTTCAGATGCTACGGTACGATATGTGGTATATACACGACGGAGCTCCAGACCATTTTGCTAGCGATGTCCGTGGATTTTTAGACGATCAATATCCAAATCAGTTGATAGAGAAATGAGGGCCCATAAGATGGCCAGCGCGCCCGACGGACCTAAATCCTATGTACTTTTGTATATGGGGTTATATGAAATATGTCGTGTATCACACCGAGCTAGAGAATGTAGAGCAGTTGCGGAATCGTATCGAAGATGCCGCTGAAGAAATACGTAACAACCCTGGTTTATTCCATCGCATCCGCCGTTCATCTACCCAAAGTGCACTTGTGCATAGACGGTAACGGTAACGTATTTGAACATTTGCTGTAAGCCCGAAGGCTTACAGAAAATTAAAAAATTAACATTATGATGTTAATAAAAACTGATTTGTGGCAAGGCATGCTCAGACCTCCTCGAGATTCTTGCTGGGCAACAAAAACAATCTAATATGTTGATAATTACAAAAAATAATTAATAGCAATTTAAATTATAATTGGCTGACATGAGCAAACCATTTATTTATTGTCTTTATATGAGCGAAAATATATAAATATGGAAACGTTGCATCTAGGGCGCCTTGTTCATATCGTAGTTGTGCGCAATACTGTGAATAACCGGCTGACGTCAGCCGGTCAGTAACAGACTGA